ATAGCAATTTTGAATTCTGTGCAACATACTGACAAAAGTCTCATATTAATTATATGGATATTGTTAATATTCTGACCTAATAGAATTCTTTTAAGAAAGTAAACTTATGATTTCAACAACAAATTTTTATTGTTGACCTAAGAAATACAACCGTATAAAAATTAATTACAAAAAAATTTCAATTTTTAAACTTTTTAATTTTTCAATATTTAAATCTAACACTTTTTATTTGTTATTCAAAATTTTATTATTCTGACGATTAAATCTTCATAAAAAACACTAAAATTAACCCTGTACCAAGTTTAAGTACAATTCACTAAAGTATATGAAAAAACTAAAAATTTCGAATTTTCGAATTTTTGAAAAAATGGCATAACTTTCGTCCATATTAATATTTTTTAATCTACTATCGCTAGGATTTTAAGTTAGGCTAATGCCTAAAAGACTGCCAAGTTTCACTTCAAACGATCGAACCGTTTTTCCGTGATACGCGGTCGAAAATTTGCGGACATGCATACACACATACACACATACACACATAATTTTCTTAATAGTATTTTCGCATTCCTTAGAGTGTAAAAAGAAGGAATATAATAGAAATTTTGAATTCTATGCAATGTACAGACAAAAGTCTGATTTTATTATATTTCTGATATAAATTTTGTTTACATTATTTGACATTTTGAACTACTAACAACAACAATAATAAAATAAGTGAAAAGGTTATTTCTTTGAGACCAAATAATTACTTTATAATGAGTATTTTTATTTAAATATTAAAAATATTGAAAATTATTTACTGTTTTTATTAAATATTAAAATATTGAATGTTAGTCTTTCTCTAAATACAAAATCCTTATTAATAAAATCAGACTTTTGTCTGTACATTGCATAGAATTCAAAATTTCTATTATATTCCTTCTTTTTACACTCTAAGGAATGCGAAAATACTATTAAGAAAATTATGTGTGTATGTGTGTATGTGTGTATGCATGTCCGCAAATTTTCGACCGCGTATCACGGAAAAACGGTTCGATCGTTTGAAGTGAAACTTGGCAGTCTTTTAGGCATTAGCCTAACTTAAAATCCTAGCGATAGTAGATTAAAAAATATTAATATGGACGAAAGTTATGCCATTTTTTCAAAAATTCGAAAATTCGAAATTTTTAGTTTTTTCATATACTTTAGTGAATTGTACTTAAACTTGGTACAGGGTTAATTTTAGTGTTTTTTATGAAGATTTAATCGTCAGAATAATAAAATTTTGAATAACAAATAAAAAGTGTTAGATTTAAATATTGAAAAATTAAAAAGTTTAAAAATTGAAATTTTTTTGTAATTAATTTTTATACGGTTGTATTTCTTAGGTCAACAATAAAAATTTGTTGTTGAAATCATAAGTTTACTTTCTTAAAAGAATTCTATTAGGTCAGAATATTAACAATATCCATATAATTAATATGAGACTTTTGTCAGTATGTTGCACAGAATTCAAAATTGCTATTATATTTTATTAATTAATGATCAAAAAATGAAAAACTCAAATTTCATTCTGATGACTAAATTGTAATAAAAAATACTAAAATTAACCCTGTATAAAATTTAAGTAAAATTAATGACAATAATTATTTCAAAAGATAAATTTTGAATTTTAAAAATTTTGAAAATATATAGCACTAGCTGTCATGTCGTACCCGTCTTCGACGGGTTTTAGTTTCTACCAATACATTTAACAATGTTTCTACCAATCTGCGGAAAATCAAAAATACCCGGGATAAATTAATTAATAATTAATAATTAATAATTAGTTAATTAATAATAATTAATAATTAGTTAATAATTAATTAATTAATAATTAGTTACCATTAGCTATTTCGGTAGTATAATTATACTATTTGAATAGTCTCCACCCTTTAGCAAAAAATCAAAAATTATCAAAAATTCGAGAAACCGAATTTCTTAAAATTTAACATTTTTTTCTTCTCTTTTATATCATTAAGCTTCATTATTTTTGTACTCTTCAAAAATACTTTACTTATATTTAATAGTCTCCACCCTTTGGTAAAAAATCTAAAATTATGGAAAATTAGCAAAAATTCATAAAACCGAATTTATTAAAATTCAACATTTTTTCTTCTCTTTTATGGCTTTTGGCTTCATTATTTTTGTGCTCTTAAAAAATACTTTACTTATTCAATAGTCTCCACCCTTCGGTAAAAAATCTAAAATTATGGAAAATTAGCAAAAATTCAAAAAACCGAATTTCTTAAAATTCAACATTTTTCCTTCTTTTTTATAGCATTTAGCTTTATTATTTTTGTGCTCTTAAAAAATACTTTACCTAATTTGTTATCTCCACCCTTCGGTAAAAAATCTAAAATTATGGAAAATTAGCAAAAATTCAAAAAACCGAATTTCTTAAAATTCAACATTTTTCCTTCTTTTTTATGGCATTTAGCTAATTATTTTTGTTTAATGTAGCAAATTTTTTACTTTACATACTGATCTTTAAATAAAAAACTTTAATAACTTTTCCTGAAAAGCTTGCTTAAAGATTAAAAATCACTATTTTCTTAGAAAAAAGTTGATCTAAAAAAAACGAAAAAAAATTTCAAAATACATCTTTTTTAAAAATTTTATCGTAGAAATGGGTTGTATTTATCTGAAAAAGTTAGCTAAGGATAGTTTTTTCATTCATTTTACAAAAGATAAAAAATTTGCATTTTTTTGTTTTTTTGAATTTTTTGGAAAAATGTCATAACTTTTGTTCAAGTTAATATTTTTTAATCGGATAAGGCTATGATTGTAAGTTACTTTAATACCTAATAGACTGCCAAATTTCACTTTAATTGGTTGAACCGTTTTCAATTGATGCGCGAACAAAGTTTTGCATACAGACAGAGACAGACAGACAGAAATTTTTTTTACATTTTTAGAATTCTAATGTCTCAAAACGAAAAAATATATAAAAATTTTCAAGTTTGGAGCAATGTACAGATAGTAATCTGATTTTATTAATATAGATAATGTTCGTTCACATTAATAACTTTTAGTTTACTATAGCTACACTAAAAAAAGTTATATGATTCAAGTAATTATAATTATTTGAAAAATAATATCTTATTTAAAAAGTTTTTATTTCGATCTAATAAGAATTTATTTCGTTTAAATAATTTTATTTAGTTGAATCAAATAAATCTTAATTGGATTAATTAAATAAATACTTGACTCTAATAAATAAATTTATTTAACACAAATTATTTCTAAATTTTATATTTTTTCATGGATTGCTTCTAAACTTACTATAGTTGAGTATTACATGTTATTTAGTCACATTTTAGCATAATTTTTCAAAAATACTTTCTTATAACGAAGATGTAAGTATAAAAATGTTTTGAATATCAAAAAATTGAAAAAATTATAATTGATACCAATTGCTATGAAGCTTAATTCAGTAGTATTTGTGGGCTCTCTGATTTAACTTTTAGAGATATCTTGATCAATGTAAAGACAAAAGTTAAACACGGTGTTTATTTTGGTTTAAAACAATTTCCGGCTTTGTCCAAATTTTTCCTGGTTTACTGGACGGGTTTTTTTTAATAATACATTTAACAGGGTGTTTACCAACCAGAAAAGACGTAAAATATCAGGGAATTTAATGTAACAGAGAAAAACTGGATCTACTTGCTATACAATTAGTTCGAATTAGACTGTACTATAACTCAAAAAACTGGAGGAAATTTTAGATTTATTTTAATACATTATATTGATTGAAGTACTACAAATTGAGAAATATTGTTTTCTGCATTTGAATTAGTTAAAAATAACTAATTTGATAATAAAAAGTCGGTCACTGTTTCAAATGGTATTATTTTCCTAATGAAATAGACAATAGTAACTAATTATTATTTTTTCCCTGTCAAATCAAATTCCCGGATATTTTCCGGTTTTCTAGGTTGGTAGATACACTGTTAAGTGCATTATCAGAAACTACAACCCGTCGAAGACGGGTACGACAGCTAGTCAGAAATATTATTCGATAATTTTGTGATTAACAATTCTGCTATATCAAAACATTGACCGAATAAGATTTTAAAATTCTAATAAAAATATCAAATTTTTTGCTTTTAAAAATATTATTTATGTATACATCATAAAATATTTAATTTTAAGTAAAATAATTTTACATTTAAGAAGAAAATATATTGCATAATATAATGTATAATAATATATATAATATAATAAATATAATATTATATTACATTATATTATATAAGTTTAATTAAATTTAAACTTCGCGCCAAACGAGCAGTGTATGCTTTACACCATAGCAGTTCATGTTGTGCTCCTGCTCCAAAAACAGTCGAACTTTGCCAGTGTTCATGACGTCATAGATTGCCTCAGAGTAGAGCACAGCTTTTTGAGAGCAGAGTAAACTATACTCCTACACCGAGCAAGATCGCTCTCGGAGCAGATAACCGAATTCGCTATAAGCTGTTCAATTTCAAAAAAGTTTAAATTTGAAATTTTTGAAAATCTTTATTCCTATGGAAAAATAATAATAATTAAATATTTTTTCAAAAATGAAGTTATTGATGTTTTCGAATAATTTGCCAATTAAAGAAATTCGTAAATAAATGTAATAAAACATTTTTTTGAGAATCTAATTCTTCTTAGTAATGCCAGTTCTTATAATTTGTTTTACTGAATTAAAATTCTGAACTTGTTTTTTTTATTCATTTTTAAACATTTTTAGTATTCTTGAAAGTAATTTTAAGAATTATTTTGAAGAAAAAACTATTTTGTAACAAGTTTTTTCAATGAAAAGTAAACTTAAAATTAAATATAATATATGAAAGAACGTAGATATGTTCCTTTGTTTTTATGTTTTCATCAATTAAACAAAATATTAGAATAGAATATAAAAATAAATAATTAGAATGATTAGAAAAATTATCCTACATTTGAAAAAATGAATTAACGAAAAAATAATTTTACAGATGCTGATGGAAAGCAGCAGGATGGAACAGATGTGTATCTTAGTGTTTCATCAAAAAATGTTGATGAAACGTTTGAAATGCGACCTGGAACTGAAACCAGTACTCTTGTATCTGAAATATTTCGAGCCGTTGAAAGTAAATTTCCTATTTATTTATATTTTTTTCTTTCTTTATATTAATAATTAATATTGAAAGTTTTCAATTCACTGGGGACGATAAAGTTTCACTCCATTTGTCTAATAACTTTGGGTAAAATTAATTGAAACTATCAAATAGGAATTGTATATGATTAATAGGGGAGACTGGGGCGAAAAGTTAAATTGTGAAAACAGTTAAAATTCATTATCTTTCGAACGGAAATAGTTAGAGCATTGCAATTTTAATTATAGAAGGGTGTTATCACCCTAAATAAATGTCCGAAGTTATGTGACATTCTGCTAATTTTTGTGGTGTCCATATTTAAATTTTTTTTTCACCCTACTTTTGAAAATTTTTTCGTAAAAGAAAATATCAACTTTTAAGTATATTTTTTGCACTTATTTTCACCGCGATTTTTTTACTTCATTATTTGGGTCCCCTGAAGAGATACCTAAAAGTATTTGCTAAATATCTTTAGTCAGACTTTTTATATTTGTTGTTAAAGCCAAAAACGCACCCTGGGGCGAAAAGTTAAATGTATTTTTACATGTTATTAAAAAATTTTTTATTTTTTGTTTTTTTGGGTTTATTTGTTTAAAAATGATTTATTTGACATTAGGCAAGTACTCTATCAAAAAAGAAGACCACTCACGTGAAATAAGCCAAAAAAATTTTTTTTTTTTGAAATTTAAATTTATTAATTTTATAACTATTCTAAAGCTTTTGTTAAGTAAACAAAGATCTTTTATTAACTAAATTACTTGTTTACATATACTTTAACTTATCTACTACTTAACACCTATCAGAAAATAGTTTTAGTAGGCTAAAAATAGAATTTAACTTTTTGCCCCAGCCATGTAACTTTTCGCCCCAGCATGGGGCGAAAAGTTAAAAAAAAACAAAATTTTCAAAAAAGGACAAAACATGTATTGTATGCGAAAATATCAGAAACTTTTTTATTGAAAGTTTTAGGGGACAAGTTGCCCTACAATATTGATGTATAAATATTTGCATTTAAGCAGATTATATTGTCTAAAAAAAATCATTTATGCAAAATTTAACTTTTCGCCCCAGTCTCCCCTACTTTTGTTATTTTGAAATGGAAAGATTTGATTTTTATTTATTATATTGTTAAAATAACTTTTTAGTGTACCAGAAGGAGAAGTATTCCTCATCGGAGTACTTGTGGACCCACAAGTTGACCGCATCTACAAGGAGTTTAGATGGAACTAAAGAGGAAGAGCATGATGTTGACACAGTAAGTTTAAAATTTTTATTCATGTTTTCTATTAAATTTTATTACTAGTGACTTGATTGTTATTTTGTTTATATTTATTTTTGTCAATAGCTAGTGGAACTTGAGTGTCCGGATTTAGTTGAGTCAAGACATAATATTGCCACTGGCAAAACTCCCGTTGCCAATCGAGATTCCTTGGTGCAAATGCATATGCAACGCAAGTCAAACGATTACACTTACACAGAAGTTTTTAGGTAATTTTTCACCTCGTTTAGTGACATTTTTTAAATTATAAATAATAAATTTTAAAAAAATTATAATTTTGTTTATTACATGCTTTTTTCTATAACAAATTTCGTTTGACTGATCTAAATTGAGCAAATTTTTCTTCTTTTTATTTATAAAAAATATTGGAAAATTGTTAATTGTTAAAAAATTATCATTAGGAAAATGGGAATATGCCCATTTTATGCATAATTTTTATTTCTCAATAACAATGTTATTCACAAATTCATTCTTTTCTTTTGGGAAGAAAAACATTATATTCCCGTTTCTCAATATTTTTGTAGAAAATTCTCAATTTTCATAAGGAAATAATTTGAATCATTTCTATTTCTTAATTACAATTGTTTAATGAAATTAAACATTTTTTTTAAATAAAGGAAAAAATTTTGCTAAAAAAAATGTTCTATTACATTTATTTACGAATTTCTTTACACTGAGAGAAAAGAAGGGACACTGCTGTTCATTTGGAGGTCTTTTCTCTTAGTGTAATTGGCAAATTATTCGAAAACATCAATAACTTCATTTTTAAATAAATATTTAATTATTATTATTTTTCCATAGGAATTAAGATCTAAAAAAATTTCTATTTCAAACATTTTTGAAATTGAACAGCTTATAAAAAATTGTTATAAAACATGAAAAAATCGATCACTCCGAGTCTTCTTATTACAAGAGTATTGTTACTGTAATTTTTTCAAAATTATTTTCATCACTTCAATTTAATTATTATTTTCTAGAATTTTTAACTAAAATTCTTCTCTAAAACAACTATTTTTAATAATTTTTGAAAAAGTTCTTTAGGTATTTTCAAATCCATTTGTTTACAATTCATTTTTACAAAATTTCAATTATTTGCAAATTCTTAAGTTAAATATACACTGCAAGCCCGATCAGCGGTCACCCGATCAGGGGTCACTTGTTTACGTCGTTTGTAGATGGGGCGGGCGAGGGGCCATGAGGGAGTCGAAAAGTTGTGGCAGTAGCGTATACATTAAAGACGCTCTGGCCCCTTAAAAAAAAATTCAGTAGTCAAGTAATGGTAACCCATCATAAAACAGTTCGTACGGTCCTATATGTTTACGCCCGATCAGCGGTCGAGCACCCCCGGAGCTGACCGCTGATCGGGCTTGCAGTGTATATTAGAAAATAGAAACTTGAATTATTATCTAAAATTTTAACTGAATTTCATTTTTAAATTAATTTTTTTAGAAAATTCTATGAGAATTGAATTATTTAAATACAAGAATAAAGTTTATTGAATAATTGAGGGCCTGGATGCAATATGTGCCGCGCGCGCCTCTGTGCCTCTGTGTGGCCGGCGTGGCGTAGAGTATGCCTGAGAGCTGGAGTGGGGAGTTAAACAATTTTATCATCAAATTTTTAAATAATTGAATTCTTTTGACGAATTTTAATAATAATTATTAAAATAATACCTAATAATAAATACTAATAATTTTAAGAATAGTGATACTTATCCAGGAATTCGATTAAAATTGTATTAAAAATAATTGAAATTCTGCGATGAGTTTTATTATTTATGAAAATGAAAATAATTGTATTATTGCGAAGAGATTTATAAAACATTCGTAAATAATTGAATTGCCGTTAGATTTTTACTATTTATGAAAATAATTAAATGTTTGCGTAGAATTTCATTAAATTTTATTTTGAATAATATTGAATTCTTTTGGAATCATTGAATTGAGGCGTAAATATATTAAAATAATCTTAGTGACCATATTATTAGGTAAATAACAAAAAATATGAAACTTGTTAATTTGTAAGAAAAATTTCTTATTATGTACTTATATTTTTCACTTAGAAAGTTAATTCTACTAATATGCTCCTGTTCTATGACTTTAAATTTCGAGGATAGTATTTTTTAAATATGACTTTTTAAATTTTTATTTACTACTATATTTTCTCTCTGATTTTTATTTCGAAGTTATAGATTATAATTAAGTTTAGGTAGTAGGAGGGTAAATAAAGTACAAGATAATTTATTTGGAAATAAATGTTTCATTTCATCACACGTTTGTAGAATTTTCGTCGGTACATGGAACGTTAACGGACAATCAGCAAATGGAATGACCGTCGAAGAATGGTTAAGCAGCGACCCTGTAGCGCCCGATTTATATGCAGTTGGTTTTCAGGAACTTGATTTAAGCAAAGAGGCTTTCCTTTTCAATGACACTCCCAGAGAAGAAGAATGGAGGTAACGTCACTTTAATAAATAAATAAATACATAATCATAATTTTCCAGCAATTGGTCATAAATAAAATAAAATAAAATGTAAAATTTGAAATCGTTGCAGACTGGTCGTTTCGAAATCACTTCATCCGAAAGCAACGTATGGACAAGTGGCATTAGTGAGACTTGTGGGAATGATGTTGATCGTCTTTGCTCAGGACGGTCATATACCTTTTATAAAAAATGTTTCTATTGATACTGTTGGCACTGGCATTATGGGAAAAATGGTAAAATTATTTTTCTACAATTTTTTCAAAACAATGAACACATTTATAGTTTCTAGTTAGTCTACAAATACTTTTAAATAAAGATAAAGGGTTAACTAAATATTTACCATTTATACCTAGTCTTCATTTGAAATTTATTTTTTATCATTTTATCATTCAGTGTGTGTAAGTTTAAATTTAAAATAATTTTTATAGGGGAATAAAGGAGGTGTCGCAGTCAGTCTTTCATTTCACAATACGACTGTTTGCTTCGTGAATGCTCATTTGGCGGCTCATTGTGAGGAATATGAGAGGCGCAATCAGGATTATATGGATATATGTTCTAGACTCTCATTTTCTCGATGTATTGATAACACGATACCATTTATACCCAAAGGATTCAGAGATCACAAGTATGTTAATCACATTTTGCACAGAAAAAATCGTGCCAAGTAAATTTGCATTTTTCATTTTTAATACTGTTAGTATTCCACTTCAATTCATCGTAGTTATTATAAAGACCTATCGGGATTATTCAGTTAATACACTGAATGTACTTTGCATTTTTTGGTACTATTTTTTTAAATCTATAACTTCCATTCTAATAATTCGGTTTAAATTTTAATACCTGAAACTGTTGGCAAAATAACACATTTTAAAATAAAAACATTATTATTATTATTATTATTATTATTGTCAAATAATAATCAGGAACCAAACATTTTATTTTAGTCAAATCTATTGGCTTGGAGATTTAAATTATCGAATAACAGAAATGGACGCAGCGACTGCTAAAGAATATATAAACTCGGGACAATTTACACCTGTTTTGCAACTTGATCAATTAATGCAGCAGCGCAAACTCGGCAGAGTTCTTGCAGATTTTCAAGAAGCCGAAATTAAGTTTAAGCCAACTTATAAATATGATCCAGGCACTGATAATTGGGATTCCAGGTAACTTGATTCATTGAACATACATACTTAAAACAAAAATGCTTGAGTTCCTTGCAGACGAATCAAGTATATGACGGGTTCCACGTTAAGTGACCCAGGTCAAAATTTTAAATGTTTGGGATCGGGTAAAAATTTTGCAAAAACAGTAGTCCTATTAGATACAATTAAAAATACCAAATATTATTAATTTATTTAAACAAATATAAAAACTGGAGGGGGTCAAAGTTTAAATTTTTGGTCTAACATGGAATATTTGAAAAATTTGTAGTTTCTGTAAAACAAAACGAAAATACGTTTTCTATTTTGGGTTTTTCTGCTGTTTTTCAACACTTTCTAACGGTGTAAACAAATGTAGAGAAAAAAAATGTTTGACCTTGAAAAATTAAATTAAAAAATAAAATTTCATTTTTTCATCAAATGGACAGTTTTTATTTTTAAAAAAAAATTTTTATCATAAAGGTGAGGTTTTTTCCTAAAAAAAATGTATAGGTCAAAACGTGGGACAAGAACTTTTAACTGGTCAAAATAAACATTTACTTCTGCAATCCACCGCCCCTGCTCGTTGTTGGGCTATATATTGTTTATAACAATTGAAATAAATTATTTTATGCTTTATTAATTATCTGGTGGTCATATTGGATGAATTTAAATTTATTTAGATCATGTGCATCAACGGAATAAGAAAATAAACCTCCTTTTTTAAAAAAGTGTATTAATTTGTTAACTTTGATTTAAAAAAAATTATAAATAATTAAAATCTCCAAAATCGGCCTCGAAGGATGTCTTAAGAATTTATTCCCCTTTAATTTAAGACAAAGAACACTCAAATCTGTTAAAAATTGTAAGCTATAGACATTTTTTAATAGTAAATTGTAAAAAAAATTCCACTGTGGGACGGTGCACGGCAGAAGTAAATGCTTAATTTGACCAGTTAAAAGTTCTTGTCCCACGTTTTGACCTATACATTTTTTTTAGGAAAAAACCTCACCTTTATGATAAAATTTTTTTTAAAAAAATAAAAACTGCCCATTTGATAAAAAAATGAAATTTTATTTTTTAATTTAATTTTTCAAGGTCAAATAATTTTTTTTCTCTACATTTGTTCACACTATTAGAAAGTGTTGAAAAACAGCAGCAAAACCCAAAATAGTAAACGTATTTTCGTTTTGTTTTACAGAAACTACAAATTTTTCAAATATTCCATGTAAATTTTTGACCTGGGTCACTTGACGTGGAACCCGTCATATATGTATTAGACTTTTTTCCCCTCTTCTCTGAACGCTATTTTCTTATTATAATTTCTAACAACGATGTTATATTTATAAGAATATAGGTTTAAACTTTGCTATATGATTTCATTTTTTAAGCAGTAGAAAAATCTATCACTCGGTAAAAGACAATGTCAGATGTCTTCAATTCAATTTTCTTAATGAGCAGGCCTCGGATATTATGACTTTTTCGACTATATTTAAAAATGCGACTTTTTTTTTAACTTTTCTTACAAATCGGGTAGGTGTAAAATTAAACTTATTTCGATTTTTATTGTTTTCAAAAATTATTTTTTAATACTTTTTATAAGGTAATTTTTTTGAAACAAAAGAAGGTTTAATTAAAAAGTATTAAAAAATCTTCTATATTAATAATCGTTGTATTCCTGTAATCTGTTCGCAGTTTGAATTTATTTGTTGTTTGCTTTTTTGTTTCCTAACCTTTTTAATAATTTTTCTTTTTATAAATATTTTCAATTTCAAAATCATTGAATTCTTGCAAAGAATGTTATCAAAAAATTTGAAAATAATTTAATTCTTGCGATTAATTTTACTACTTATAAAAATAATTGAATTGTTACGAAGGATTTATTAAAATTTTAGAAAATAATTGGATTCTTTCGAAAGATATTATTAAAATTGTTTTAAAAATTGAATTGTTACGAAGGATTTATTAAAATTTTAGATAATAATTGAATTTTTAGAAAAAAATTTTACTGTATTTATAAAAATAATTGGATTTTTGCGAAGAATTATATTACAATTTTTAAAAATATAAACAATAATAATTAATTATGTACTTAGTAAGTGAATTTTTAAAATTTTGATTATTATTTATTTACACTTGTGTAAAGCCAATAAGGCATGTACAAGAGGATAATCGCTACAAATAGACACAATTTGGAGAGAAAAATAAATTTTTCATGCACTTTCACAAAGATGCGTATAGCAGGGTCATCTTAAAAGTATATGAAATAAATCATCTCTTTCCTGGCGGCAGCAAAGGCAATCACGCAATTATCTAATTTATAAGAGAACTGTCCCATTTTTATTCTACAAATATAGCAGTTCAACAGTCTTACTTGAGCAAAAATTCTTTTAAACATTAAAGAAGATCTTGACAATAAATATTGTTGAGTTCTTTGAACTCGAGATCCAATTCAGTGTAACAGAAAAAAATCCTCTGAGAGAGATGAAAGTTGCCCGTCTCCAGTCTATCAGCCTAACCTGGGGTATTGCTGGGTAAGGTAAGAAGACACTTAAAAACAGTTGTTGAACTTTCTCGACTTCATCCAAGAAATTAGCCCCCCAGATCTGTAAAACACAAAAAAATAAAAGTTTATTGTAAGTCGACCATGAATCCGCACGCGTTGCATAGATTGTTTAAAGAACAGCCCCAACCGCGGTATTTGCAGCGCTGATTGCCCCAGATGCCGCCAAGAAAAAGGAACACGAGTTTGCAAAGGAAATTCCCAAATAAATATATGACTTAACCACTTCGATACTCTCTGTGCCATATTTGAACGCTTTATACTCCTTAGACTTAGAATTTGCTGATCTTGAGAAAATCAAAATTTTTGTTTTGGGTCCGTTCAAAAAATACGTAACGCTATTTTTCGGAAATTTGGACCCCCCCCTTCCCCCATGTAACGCATGGGGGGAAATGTTGTATACATTAGCGCCATTTTTTCTGCTGACCGTAACAAACAGCTTGACCCCCCCCCTCCCCTCTAAAGCGTTACGTATTTTTTGAACGGCCCCTTTGTTTATGTTGACGACTAATCTGTTCTTATTACAACAGGTGTGCAAAGCATGTAACTTCTTGCTCACCTGAAGGGGTGAGTCTGACAGAAAAACGTAGTCGTCAGCATATCGCAAAACTCCCACTTCAGTTGATCTATTAATGGCCAAACCCCTGCATTCTAGATCCATGAGATACCTATCTAAGGCGGTGTTTACTTACATGATTGCGTTTGAACGCTGCGTTTTGCGTTGAATAATGAGATAGAGAAAGAATGACATATACTACTGTCCTTCTTACACTCACTGCTCAACGCAAAACGCAGCGTTTGAACGCAAGCATGTAAACACAGCCTAAGTCCGAAATAAATAGTAAAAACAAATACGGGCTTAATACTTCACCCTGCAATACGCCTCTCGATACCTTCACATACTCAGTAAAACCCTCACCAGTTCTAATACACGTATTATATATGCATAAGAGTAAAAGCTCCTGACGATATTAATCATTTTCGAACTAAATCCAAATTTATGCAGCTTTTCAAAGTAACTGATGAGAGACACAGATGGAAAAGCTCCCTTAAAGTCCACGAAAATGGCATAGACCGTAGCATTCGGTTCACTTAAATGGAACTAAATTGATGCATTCAAGTCAAAGAGGTTATCAAGGCAACTTCTACCCTTCCGGAAACCTGATTGAAATTCTAGGATAAGGTCCAGCTCAGAAGCCCAAGCCACAAGCCGAAAACACAAAATTTAGGTAAAAATCTTTGCCACATTATTTACCAGTGAAAAAGGCCTTTAGGCTGTAGCAATCAGGGTCGTCCATTGAACCCTTCCGCTTATACAGCATAGAGGTCGTAAGTCTACCCCACTCTTCCGGAACTGATTCTATAGAGAAAATATTGTTAAATAGGTGTAACATAAATAAAAGCCAGTTTTGTGGGAGGTTTTTGTAAAAAGCATTGTCGATTCCATTAACACCGAGAGCTTTTCCATTTTTACAACGAGCAAGACTTGCCAACAGTTCATCGAACATAAGTTACAAGATAATTCAACCAAGTAGGCAAGTCCACACACATAGGTAGGGCAGAACGTGTCCTAAAAGAATTTATTATCGACCAGAAATATCCCTGAATCCAAAAACACTCCGGAGTAATCCTGAATGTCTACGAATTCAGTCCGTAATTAGTCCGCAATAATCTGAATTTATGGCCCGTGAAGAATACTTCTGAAATAAGCAATCCGAACTCTGTAAGCAAGAAATACGGTATTAGTCCGCAACAACTTGAAATTGAGTGTGGCAAAGTCCTATTCCGAAAGAAGTACGAAACAATACGAAAGCTGTATGTAACGAATCCGAAAATTGAGGGTCCCAATCAAAGAACCGGTTATAATTCTCTGACGCTCGGATTAGTTGGCCCCTGAGTTGAAAAATTTTATTTTTTTAATTTTATTTTTTTATTTATATATTTCGATAGAGAATTTCATTGCGCATCTTTTTTTCCTCTGACAAAAATTCCCATATGTTATGGTTTCTGAAATATTCTCAAAAAACTGTTTTTTTTAAACTGAAAATTTAATCATTTTTTCCACTTCAACTCGCGATAAATAAGATAATTTTTGATATTTTTTAATCAAACAAAAACGAAAATACGCGTTATTTTATTGCCCGACTGACAGTATAAACAAAAATTAATTTTAATAATAAATAAAAAAGTTAACAATTTTTTTCTGAACCATTGCAAAATTATTGAGTTCTAATCTTACAACGCTTCGTTTATCTGAAAAATGTTCACCACCAATAAACTTTCAGTGAGAAAGTTGTTTATTAGGACCTAAAGAAGTTTTTTGGAAAGTTTGAGTACACAAAAATAATTATTAATCGAAATATAGTAATTGTTTACTGTCGCTAGCGGCCGACCAATTCGCGCGCGTGGACTAAGACTATGACGTCATGTCACGTCACTCGTTCAGTATATGTACAAACCC